TTTATATTAAGTAAATATTCAAATTTCTAGCTAAATTAAAGAAAAACAAAACAAAATAAAGCGATTTTTTTAATTTTTTTTTTTTGTTCCTATTTTTAAATTTTGGTTTAAAACGAAATAATTAATTGGTGAAACTAATATTGGTAAGTATAATTATAAAATAACTAAAAATTAAAATGTTATTATAATTTAACAAATTCTTTAAAATAATTAAGAAAATTTAGCAGTAAGTTGTCAAACCTAAATTCGTTGCCAAACAGACCCCTAATAAGGGATAGAGAAGTTATTTTGATGCACAAAGGACATTTCCGTAATTTCACTATTTCCAGATTTTCTTTCTTTTTATTTTAATTTTATTTAACCTTCGCTGTATTGTAATGCAAATAGAAAGCTCTCGTTGTTCCTTTCCATTTTTCCTCACTAATTCCCTCTTCGTCACTTCTTCAAGTTTTGTTCTAATTTTAGTTCAATTCCAGGGCATTTTCTTCCTCCAATTTCGTTTTTCATTTCATTTTGTATAAATCTGTATAGGTTTCTTTTGCATCATTTATGATTTTTGTTTTTTTCTTTTCGTTCAGATTTTTGTTTCCTCCTCTTCTGTTCTTCGGTGCCATTTCCACTTCTTTCAGAGGGAGAAAAGTTTCGAATCTCTCAGAAAGTTGATTGTTCTTCGATTATAGTGCTGTGTTTTTCATTTACTGATTGGGTTTATTGAGTTAATTAGTGGGTCATTGAGGAAATTCGGAGTCTATTGTGTATTTCTTTCGTCTCAGCCGTATAAAATTGTTCGATTCTTGGTTTTTGTGTTGAGTTTGATACTAAATTAGTCGGATTAGCGAGGAATTTAGTTGGTTCGTGATCAGAAGAACTTAATCGTTACTGTGCGATTGCGATCTGAGTTGGAGCGGGAAGTAGTTTGCTGTGCTCAAGAACATGGGAGTAACAACGATTGCTTTATACGCCGGTTCACCGAGCAGATTTTGCTCTACACATCCGTGTCAGATCAATGCTCATTCGAGTTTCGATTTCGAAATTGGTTCTCGATCTTCATCGACGTCGTCAACAGCAATGGCTTCTCAGAAGCCAGTGGCCGGTGGGCTTTCATGCCTTTTCTCAGCTTCCCCGGTCCGGCATGTATCGTCAACGACAAGTTTTTCCGGTTGTGGAGAGGAATTGGGATCGTTATGGCATGATAGAGAGGAGGAATTGAGTAGCTCATTTCGATATTCTTCAAGCAAGTATTTAGGGTCTCCATTGACAAGGGACTGTAGCCCGGTGTCGGTGTTCCAGGGTCCGGTTTCGTGCTGTAGTAGCGGAGTTGGTTCATCGGCGAAAAGTCCTCCGATTTCGATTTCAAATACGAGAGAAAAGAGTTGGGAAATGAATTTCCAGAGCTCAATTGGAGTTGGATCGAATGGACTCTTCAATGGGTTCTTTAGGAATGCTTCAGGATCATATGTGGATGTTCACAGAAATGCTCATGACGTGAGTTCATCGGCTGTGCTCATGGATGAGTTGACCTTTAGTTTGGAAGATGGGTTTGGGGAATGCACCCTCGAGCCATATGCAAGGGATATGCTTCTTGGTGCACAAATTAGGCATAAGATCTTTCTTGATGAATTCGTGATCAAGGCATTTTATGAAGCTGAAAAGGCACATAGGGGACAAGTATGAGTTCATTCTCATGAATATCCCCCCTGTTTCGATCCGTGGCATTAGTGAAGATGATTAAACTTGTGTTCTTCCTTTGCAGATGCGAGCCAGTGGAGATCCGTACTTACAACATTGTGTGGAAACAGCGATGCTGCTGGCTACGATCGGTGCAAATTCCATGGTGGTTGCTGCAGGACTTCTGCACGACGCAATCGATGATTCGTTCATGTGTTATGACTACATTTTAGGGACAGTTGGAGTTGGGGTTGCTGATTTAGTTGAAGAGGTGAGTAAAATTTTTCTCATGCAATTGATTAGGCACTGATGAATGTTGATGAATGTTGATTGGGTTTAGAGCCTATGAGCTCTGGATGTGTAACCACATGTGGAGTCTGTTATGTGAACTTAACTTTGATTAGAGCATGTGGTGAAATCTCTGTCCATTGTGTACTATAATTGATCTTAGTTGCTTTGTGTAAGATCTCACATCGGTCAGGGAGGAAAACGAAGCATTCTTTATAAGGGTGTGGAAACCTCTCCCTAGAATCGCGTTTTAAAAACCTTTAGAGAACTTGTAAGGGAAAGTCCAAAGAGGACACTATCTGCTAGCAGTGGGTTTGGGCTGTTACAAATAGTATCAGAACCAGATACTAAGTGGTGTGCCAGTGAGGAGGCTAAGCCCCGAAAGGGGGTGGACACGAAGCGGTGTGCCAACAAGGATGTTGGCGCCAAAGGAGATTAGGGCGTCCCACATCGATTGGAGAAGGGAACGAGTGGCAGCGAGGATGTTGAGCCCCAAATGGGGGAGGATTGCGAGATCTCACATTGGTTGGGGAGTTTAGGGGTGGATTAGGGGTCCCACATCGATTAGAGAAGGGAACGAGTGTCAGCGAGGATGCTGAGTCCCAAAGGGGGGTGGATTTTGAGATCCCACCTTGGTTGGGGAGGAGAACGAAGCATTTTTTTTAAGGGTGTAGAAACCTCCCCTAGCCGACGCGTTTTAAACCTTGGGTGCAGTTTTTAATTTTCTAGTTTTGCTTTTCTCACGCAGTTCTGTACTAAAGTCAATTTGCTTTACATTCGTGACAGTACTTCAAACTTCTTGTCTGCTAAATTTCACCTTGTGATTGTTGAAGGTGTCTCAACTAAGTCATTTGAGCAAGCTTGCACGCGAGAACAATACAGCCAACAAAAGGGTCGAGGCAGACCGCTTGCACACCGTGTTCCTTGCCATGGCAGACACGAGGGCCGTTCTCGTTAAGTTGGCTGATCGTCTGCATAATATGACGACACTAGATGCATTGCCATTGACCAAACGACTAAGATTTGCCAAGGAAACTTTGGAAATATTTGTACCATTGGCTAATCGCTTAGGAATATTGAGTTGGAAGGAGCAATTGGAAAACTTATGCTTTAAGCATCTCCATCCGGAAGAGCATAAAGAACTGTCTTCTAAATTAGTGGACTCATTTGATTCAGCAAGAATAACTTCTGCTATTGAGAAGCTAGATGAAGCTCTGAAGATCCAAGGGATTTCTTACCATCTCTTATCTGGACGCAATAAGAGCTTATACAGCATATACTTAAAAATGTTGAGGCATGTTCTCTGACTCTCCATTTCAATTTTCACCTCTAGTCCTCTAGTCCTCATGTAACGCCCCAAGGACACCGCTAACAGATATTGTCCTCTTTGGGCTTTCTCTTTCGGGCTTCTTTCAAGATTTTTAAAACGCGTTTGTTAGGGAGAGATTTCCACACCCTTATAAGGAATGTTTTGTTCTCCTCCCTGAAAAAAAAACTTGGTCACCGAAGGGGTATCAGAACTAGACACCAGGTGATGTGCCAGCGAGGAGACTGAGCCCTGAAAGGGGGTGGACATGAGGTGGTGCGCCAGTAAAGACACTAGATCCCGAATGGGGGTAGATGGAGGAGTCCCACATTGATTTGAGAAGGGAACGAGTGCCAGCGAGGACGCTGGGCTCCAAAGGGGGTGGATTGTGAGATCTCACGTCTGTTTGAGAGGAGAACAATTAGGGTGTGGAAACTTCTCTCTAGCAAACACGTTTTAAAAACCTTGAGGAAAAGCTCAAAGATAACGATATCAAAGGTGGGTTTGAGTACAGATCTTAAATAGGTTCAACTTGAAGTTAATGAGCTTTTTTCTATTCATGATCTGATATTTATGAATTCTGAAGTGAACTCTACATATTCTCATTAAAAGTGTGTACTTTTCATTCTTATCCACAGAAAGAAGTTGACCATGAACGAAATCCACGACATTCACGGCTTACGTCTTATTGTAAAAAACGAAGAAGACTGCCTGAGAGCTTTAAGAATAGTTCACCAGTTATGGTCTGAAGTGCCTGGGCGATGCAAAGATTACATTAGTCGACCCAAGTTTAATGGGTATGTTGTGGCTCAAAATGACATCTTCTCCCGTATCCTTTATTTATTTGTTCTTTCCATTTCTTACTCGACTCGATGATTTGAAGGTATCGATCTCTACACACGGTTGTAGTGTTTGAAGACATGGTGCCACTTGAAGTACAAATTAGGACAGAAGAGATGCATTTGCAAGCGGAGTTCGGCATTGCAGCTCATTGGAGATATAAGGAGGGTGACAGTGAGTACTCTCCGTTCGTCGTTCAGATGGTCAAATGGGCTCGATGGGTTGTCACGTGGCAGTGTATGGCTATGAGCAAAGATGGATCTTCCGTTGGCAACGCTGATTCCATTAGGCCACACTGCAAATTCCCTTCTCATTCTGAAGGCTGTCCATATTCGTACAAAACCCAAAGTGATTTTCAAGATGGACCTGTATTCGTCGTAATAATTGAGAATGACAAGGTTTGTTACTCATTTTCATGTTATATTAGTTTAACGTTATCGAGTTCGGTTAAGTGATGTCATTGAACAACAGTATTTTACTTGCTTACTGCAGATGTCAGTTCAAGAGTTCCCTGCAAATTCGACGATCACAGATTTAATGAAAAGATTTGGGCGAGGAAGCTCGAGATCGACTTCCCATGGCTTACTCATGAAAAAAGACTTGAGACTAAGGGTTAACCACGAGCAAGTGAACGATCCAAAGTGCAAGCTGAAGATGGGTGATGTGGTTGAGCTAACTCCTGCCATACCCGATAAGTCGTTGACGGAGTGCAGGGAAGAAATCCAGCGAATGTACGACCGTGGGATCACGGTATCGTACCCCGGTCTGTCCCCGGTTGCTCCTAACACGGTTGGTTTCTGGAGCTGACCATAACTTAGATTGTCTATGATAAACGTCTTGTGATTATCAAATTACCCTGTATATAGTGCTCTTTGTACAGAACAGAACAACTCAATAGTAACTGAAATTCAACAAAGTTCATAATCAAAATTGAAGCATTCTTGTTTGGAGTTCATTCTTAAACACAATATTATACAATAGATTGTTAACATCCAACAATACCTCCCCCAACTTTGAGTGAATCTATATGAAATTTCAAAGACCCTTTTAATTGGGGAAGTAGAGGAAAGCGAGACAAGAAGGAAAAACAGCTATGTTATTTTTGGACGTTTAGACAAGGGGAAAGATACCCTCTGTGGGGTATGTTGTTGAGGTACTTCTGTGCTCAGTTCTTGGGACGGAACTGTGTCAACACCTTCGTCCTCCTCTGTTTCCTCCATGGCTTCGACTGGTCGCTTCTTCGGGATTGCCAGTTGATAGTTGGGACTGAGCAATGTATCTATATCGGGTGGGAGCGCAATACCAGGCCCGCCAATTGACCTTGGCAATGGAATTTTATTCCTGTTTCTGGCCAACTCTAGAAGAACCTAACACAAGAAACACATGGTTAAACACTTTTCCTTCAATGGGAGAGAAGATAGAAAGAAAAATCCGTGAATGTGATCTGGTATCCCTCCCATCGGTTGGGGAGGAGAACGAAGTATTCTTTATAAGGGCATGGAAACCTCTCACTAGCAGACACGTTTTAAAAACCTTGGGGAGAAACCCACAAATATCTGCTCTGTCTCTTTCTTCAAGACTACATTTTCTTTCTCATGCAAATACTTCGAGATTACATTGGTATATCCCCTCCAATGGAACTATTAAGCAATCTTACCTCTCTTGGAGGAGGTTGAGAGAAGCTGAAATTAACTTTGGACTGGATAGCAAGCTTCACATCATCGCAGTCGATAGCAGCCTTGCCAGCATGCTCTGAGTATACTTGCGCATCTGTCAATACGTCAACGACGTACCGATACCACAGCTCAAGAAACTGGTGAATAACTCGTGGTTCATAATCTTCGACTCCCATTGATTTCAGAAGTGTTTTCACAATCCTTGCATCCCTTGGCAGGTCCTCGTCTCCCTCAGACATTTCCTTAACGCCCCTGTCACCTGCACAAGAAATTTACATCATTCTTGCAATCTTGCTAAACTGATATTTCTATCAAACATAACTAGCTTGTTTTACATTGTACGTTTGATAATTATGAAGTAGAGCATTATTTGGAGAAGGCAATAACATTTCAAATGCGATATTAAGTTCCTAGACTTTCATATGCTTTGCTCTTTTCTCTAAACTTGTATAAGAATTCAATTTAAGCAAAACAATTGTTTGATAGTTTAAGTAACAACATGAACAAAATAAACAGTTCAGTGATCGAATAGGATTTGATTTCCGGTACGAAAAATTCCAGCAGCTTTCAGATACAGCATACTCTAGAGATGAATTCAATGTCTTTCGAAATTGATTTTGAAATCCATAGTTCAATCTTGAAGCTTGAAAATAAACAGAGAACGACAACAAATTGGCTTCTCAAACTTGAAAATTTCACACTATTCCCACTTTTCCATCCTAATTCCTCCCAACTTCGAACATCCAAGTGACGCGAGAAAACGAAATTTCTAAATTACATGCTACGATTTTGTTTCAAGAGTTAGCAACTCAAAATAGAAAACATCAAAATCAAAATAACAATCAAATGACGAACAAATTCGACCCGTAGAATCAAATACCCTAAAATCGTCTGAAATCATCCAGAAACAATTGAATGAAAGTGGAAAAAAAGTAGGAACTCGATGGAGGAATCATGAACGGAAAGAAGATAAACAGTAACGTACCCAGTTGAGAAGTTCGAGCTTCGGGCGAGAAATTAGTGTTTTGGTTGTCATATCCACCTCCACCTCCACCTCCACCTCCACGACTCATCGTCTTGATTCCTCGCCCTAACAATTTTGTAATTTGAGTTTCACTCAAAGCTTCAAAGATCGGCTTCCAAGCCCAGATGTCGCTCTTCGTTCTCGTCTCGTCTCCTCTCCTCTCCCCCAAATTAAGCGCATGGAAGTCGTGGTGTCGGATCCGGAGCCCCGAATAATGGCACCCGACTTCCGATGGGTTCAAGGCCCAAAATGGATATAAGGCCTAGAATTGTACGGAATAGTTTTTTTTTCTTAAATATATATTTTTTATAATTTCAATCTTAATTTATTTCACTTTTATTTGGTTTTATTTCTATTATAATGTGCACATTTGTACATTTTAAATTAGATTTAATGGGTAAAAATTGTTTTATTTTTAATTTATTTTCTAATTTTTTAAAATTAAAAAACAAAAGTTCATTTTCAGTATTTGTTCATTTCATCACTCTCTCTGTCCGGTCTTTTAGCGAAAGAAATGAGAACTTATATTTGCAATTTATTAGCGCTTTAGAGAGTTCGGAACTTAAAATTCATCCTTTACAGAGCTTATCTCGATGCTTGTATATAAGTTCGTCCTTTTCAGAGTTCAGACTAAAATTCGCCAAAATTCTTAACCCTTTTTGAGCTTTGAAATATTAAAAACTCAAAGTTCTTTCTTCTAGAGTCTATCTCAGCGTTTGGACCAAACTTTTGATGTACAAATCATGTTTTGTACGAGTAACATTATGTTTAGAATATTAGTCTTTAAACACTTTAGTAAAACTCACAATCCCTCGATTGCCTTTTGAAGGGGAGTTGCTACTCCATCCCAAAAGCACTAAAAAGTTGTATATTCTATGCTTTTCAATACGAGATAAGAAGTTAAAAGATGAGAAGTCGACTTGTCGAACTAAGAAGTTAATGGTTTAAAAAAACAAATGGAAACTACCGTCAACCTCCTCGTAACTAAGAACACAAGAACACGAATGAAAAATCTATAGCACGAACTAAGAACCCAAGAATACGAATGTACAATCTATTGAACGAACTAAAAACAAAAAAACATGATTGTAAGAACTAAGAACACAAGAACACGATTATACAATCTATAGAACGAACGAAGAACACAAAAACATGGTTGTAAGAACTAAGAACACAAGAATACAATTGTACAATCTCTAGAACGAACTAAGAACACGATTGTACAACTACAAAACGAACTAAGAACACAAAAACACGGTTATAAGAACTAAGAACACAAGAACACAATTGTACAATCTATAGAACGAACTTAAGAACATAAGAACACGATTGTACAAACTACATAACAAACTAAGAACACAAGAACATGATTGTGAGAACTAAGAACACAAGAACAATCTATAGATTGTAAGCTTCTCAGAACTAAGAAGAGAAAAGAAGAGAAGATAATGCATTTGAAAACAAATGAAGGCAACAAGCTCACCTCTTAAATGACAAGATAATGCCTTTGAAGACAAATGTGGGGAACAATTAGTAAGCATTCTATCAAAGCCCACAGTTCAAAAATCAGCTCAGACCTGGGTACAGCTTACAGATGACACAAAACTAAGAACTGTGTTATACATAGTCAAATGATTCCTCTACTGTTTCAATGAACCCTTCCAAGACAGGGCAGGCTGCTACTTTATTTTATGCAGAAGAAGCTCAAACTTCTTGGTTTGCAGATATTATTATTACAGAGAATCTGAGAAACATGGATCTCATTTGAACACTAAACACCCGAGCCTCAAATTTCAAGCATTTTTCAGTTCACTAGTAAAACTCATCAGGATTGTCTTTGCTTTGAATGAGAGGGACACCATCTTCTCTCCAAACGATCCGATCGTCGCATAACGCTGCTACTACCTCGACATAAAGATGATGCTCCTCCTTAAGAACTCTAGCTGCCAGATCCTCTGCTGCATCATTTGCAAGCACAGGAACCACTCTTTGAGCAAGAATCTTTCCAGTGTCAAAGTGCTCATCGACTAAATGAATCGTCGGACCGGAAAATCGAGCTCCGGAGGCAATCACTGCCTTGTGCACCTTCATTCCATAATACCCTTTGCCTCCAAAAGAAGGAAGAAGTGATGGGTGTATGTTTATTATAGATTTGGAATAGGCTTGGATCAATTCCAGGGGTATAAGTTTTAAGTATCCAGCAAGAAGAATGAAATCTATCTCAAAACTTCTAAGGGTAGCTACAAGATCAGAAGCAGATAAGCCATGGGGTTCATCTTTTGTTTTGGGAAACAAAATAACTGGAATGTTCTTACTTCTTGCATATTCTGCACCACCACAACCACTTTTGTTGGTAACCACAACACCAATTTCTCCATGAATTGATCCTTCTACAGACGCCTCGTGTATTGAACGAAAGTTGGAGCCTCCACCGGAGACAAAAACAGCAAGTTTCTTCTTCCTAATCACAATTCTTGAAACATCCCCTTCGAGACTGGAACTCGCAACGACTTGACAGTTCTTTCTACATGCAATATTCTCCTTGAACCAAACACTATTCGAAGTGGAATGATTGGTTCGGACAAAGGACGGACGAGAAGAATAGGAAGGAAACTTCAAAAGGATCGGATGTTTAGGAGATAGAACCAACGGAATGGACAGATTTGGGCAAAACCGAGAGAGAGAACATTGAGCTTCCATTTTCAACTAAACCAACACCAAAATCGATTGTTTTTAAGTATGAACAATCGAAGCAATGTTCACGATTACGCAAAACCAGTGTCCGATTCCATCGGTTTGAGCTTACAGACGTTCATCCATTGTAAGAATCGAAACTTATAAGATGAATAAGGAAGATAGAGAGAATACCTAAGAACAGAAATGGGTGAGAAGATGGGCGAAGAAGAGATGCGGCGGAGGACGGCGCCAGCAGTAAGCGCCGTGGAGGAGTAGGCGGCGGCAAGGCGTGATGGAGCTACTGAACTGCTATAAAAGAAGGGAATTAGGCGTGAAAATGGATGGCAAATAAGCCGGCTATAATTTAAAATTCTTTATTTTTTCCTAATTTTTTAAATAAACGCTGTTGGGCTGGGCCGTTAGAATACTGGGCTTAGCCCAATGTAATTCCTTAAGCCCAAAATTAACCTGTGTGAACTTGAGCATCTTATATAGAGTTTTGGATATGGGATACAAAAGTATAATATAAAAATAATACATTTGAATCAAAAATAATTAAATTAATAAAAATACATTCGAATTTTATACTCGGTCTCCCAAAATACTTTTAAAATTTCAAGAGTTTTAATAATATCTTCCACCTAAAAAAACCTACAAAATACTGTTCGACCTAAAATATACATACATACATACATACATACATACATACATACATACATACATACATACATATAGTTACACAGTTAGTTTTGGATGGAAACTGTTACATTCTGATTCAAAAGAGGTAAAAAAAATATCTTAAAATTTTTTATAGTCAACAATATTTTGTTTTAAACAACTGTCAAATAATTATTATTTGTCAAAGGAGTATTAAATTTTTATTTTAAAGTTTAAAAATATTATTGAGAATTTTTTTAAATGAAATATAAAGTCGATATATATATATATATATTATTAATTTAGCAAAAAAACACGCGAAAATTAAAAAATATTATTTATTTATTTATTTATTTAAAACGCAACCATCCAAGAAATTTGTAGTAGAACTATCCGAAACATCATTGATTCCGTTCCTAATTGTTTTTATAATTCGAAAGCAGAGTAAACGGACGAACTATATGAAGGAGTTCGACATTATTTGATTTTTGTGCTTCGGAATTTGATTTGATATATAAAATTGCTTGATGCACAATTCGCCCTCTTCCGCGTTGGTCTGCGTTATCACTCGACATTCGCGTTGAAACCACCGCAATAACTGCCGCCGCGGCGTTTCTGCTTTGTCTCGTCGGTTGTACCGGTCGCTGTCTCCACCGCATTTAAGGAGGTAATTGTTTTCACCGCCGCAGAGTCACGGAATTCACTCATGTCCTCATCGGAGCAAGCCCTCGTCTCTCTACTCTCTCAGTTTGCTTTATCGTTTGATGGAGCCGTTTTGGGCGCAGCCCTAGCTTATGCTGCTGTTCGTACCGTCCTCAAACTCACTGCTTCTTGCTCCGCTCTCGATGAGCTCCGTAAAGCTCCTTATGTTAGTGTTTCTGATCTTCGCCATATCATTTCCGATGGAGATTCGGGAAAATCCGAGTCCGATCATAAGCTTGTTGTAGTTCGTGGCACCGTGGAGGCCAGGTCGTCTGTGGAAGGTAATTGGAAGAGCGTACAGCCTAATGTATTGATTTCTCAAGAGTCCGGAGACAGAGCGGTGATTATTCAGCGTACTCAAATGGTAACTCCTTCAATATTTCTGTTATAGACTCTGCGCTACTGTTCTAAGATTTTGTTTCTTTTGGGCTGCCGTTTTCTTGGCGGAGGATAAGTTGAGCTATGCAGTTTAGAAATTTGCACGATTATTGATATTCGTTCGTTTGTTAGTATGTTATACTTTCAGATTGTTGTGACAGTATTCGAGTAATTTGATAGCTCCACCAAAATTGCCAATAAAGTCCAACCAATTAATCGACTAACTTGTGTAACTTTTAGGATTTTCACATTACAAGGTATCTAATCTAGGTTCTAGGTTCAAGAGATAGTTATGATATGATTCTATTCTGGACGAACAATGAAAGAGAAGGATCACCGGGTGAAATTGCTGTTTGATTATCTACATAGGTCTTCTGGCTTGCCTGAAGTTGATCTTGCGTCACGTTGTGTGTGTAAACTTACGATGTGGGGATTAAGTATTTGGGAAATTCCAAACTCCTTAACCAACATAACTTCATTATGAATTTAATCTTGAGGAAAACAAATTTCTCTTCTACCAGTATTAACTATTGAACCTCATTTGTTCTGCAGGTGTTTGTTTTTGTTCCCCTTGGTTATTCAGTGTGATGGATATGTGTAGATAATATCCAGTTCTATGAACTAAAGCTTTCTTTTTTGTAATTTGTGATTGTGTAGTGCATATTCAACGAATGGAAAGGCTTCTTTGGATGGACTTCTGATTTACGTGCAATTTTTGGAAGAACCTTTAGAAAGCAAGAGTCGACATCATTTAGAACGGTAAAGCCTAGTCCTATATCTGTTATTGCTATGATTGATTCGCTCTTTTCGTTACACTTGCCAACAAAAGATCTTTGTATTAAATACCCCTTCAACCTGAATGATACGGAACTTTGTGATTCTTTCTGTGAATAAAGAACAAATTGAAGTTTTGGGGCCATAAAATCATGTCCTTTCCTGTGGTTCTCTATTGGGTCTTTTTTTCTCTGTCATGGCATTTGCAAGTAGGTTTGTAATGCTGCCTCTTGAAATATGGTTCCAAACAGAGTAGGCTCAAAGACATACCCCATAGTGGAATTTATTGTAGCTAACTTATTGTCTATGAAAACTAAATCTACATGATATGAGATTGATGTGTGGCCGTTTTAATTTGTAAAGTCTTATGTGATGCTGAAATTTGAGAAATTTTTAACAGGTTCCTTTTGTCCTTGTTGATGAGGGCCATTCACCATATTCTGATTTTGTTGTCGTTAACATGGATGGGTCAAGACATCCTTTGCCTCTTACAACTGTGTATCATCAACTACAGCCCGTTTCAGCTACTCCTTATACCTTCCTTCAAGCACTTTTTGGTCATGAGTACCCTGTGAGTTTGGCGATCTTTGTTGAAGTTGAACACCTCTTTTTAATGGATTTTAGCAAAAAATTATTTATCATGTTCTACTTTTGAAGGTTGGGGTGCTTGATGAGGAGAAAATACTTCCATTAGGAAAAAATATCAGTGCTGTTGGCATATGCAGTTTTAAAAATGGAGTTCCTGTGATAAAGTCATGCAAGGATTTTCCCCATTTTCTGTAAGTTTATCCATTTTGAAGTAGATCATAAATGCATATCATATTGATAACAAATGTGTTCTGCTTGCTAGTGGTGGACACCCCGTTGATTTGGGTTTGGTGCTCTGGATGTGAGTTTAACTAGGTTTTAGGATCGAGCCTCCGAGTAGAAAGCTTTTGTTGCCTGTTGGAGCTAAATGGATTTTTGTGTGTTTGATGTATGGGTCTCAATGCTATCTCTTTCTCCTCTCCACACACACACACACACACACATGTATATATAGATATATACAGGTTCTCTCGTTCCCAGTTGAAGTGTGGAGATTTTGGTTTATACCTAAATTAATCAAAACACGTATTGTCTCGTCAGTGATGCTAGCTAATTGCTAGTCCCTCCTCTCCCACACACACACCCAAAGTTTAATAAATAAAACACCGAAAAATTAAAAGAAAAATATGATTCAATTGATTTTGCTTTATGTAATAAACGGAAGCCGTGCTTGATGTGTGACATGTAGTGCTATTTCATCTCTGTTGAATACTGGGAATAGCATCTAATTAGTGACAAACATTATTCCTGTTTGTTCTTCGAGATAATATTCATTGGAATAATGAAAATTATGATGATAGTACTCTTCTTTGCAGATGTGAAATGACTAAGGATCAGATGATTTTAGATCTAGTCTTCAAAACAAAATTTCTGTTTTGGAGTAGTGTTGTACTTGGTTCGCTGTCGGTTGGCGTTCTTGGTTATTCTGTTGTGAGGTATTTTTTTCTTTCTTAATTTCTTCTTTTATTTTATTTTGTGAGATATCTTGGTGTTGAGGATTCTCTTCAGAAACTGTGCTCGATATCTTGGTTTGATATTTTATTTTGCGAGATATCTTAATATCAACATCCATTCTCTCCTTCAGAAACTGGAATAGATGGAAACAATGGAGGCAACAGAGACGGTTACAGGATTCAGGGAATGATTCCACCATGTCACAACTGGATTCAAACAACATTCCGATTTATGGTGATTTTGGAACTGCATCAGACAACGAGGAAGCAGTCGATCCAGAGGACGAGGTATCATCAAACGTTCCAGATGGTCAGTTGTGCGTGATCTGTCTCATGAGAAGAAAGCGCTCTGCTTTCATTCCATGTGGTCATTTTGTTTGCTGTGAACGTTGTGCCATGTCAGTTGAACGCGATTCAGCTCCCAAATGTCCCGTCTGCCGCCAGCAGATCCGTAGTTCTGTGCGGATTTACGATTCATGAGGAGAAACAAACGATCTTTTCAGGTTCTAACCACGACACATCTACATATACACATCTCATTCTTCTGGATAGCCCTTTTTACTGATACTGTTTGAAATTTCATATCTATGCCAGTCATTCCCGTAGGCAGCAGATCTGGAGTTTGTCTTTCCATATCTACTGTAACAATTTATCCATGTAGTCGGTATTTTGATCACAGAGTTCGTTAAGAGTATCTAAAGCCAAATTTGAAGTGATATCTCTTGTAAATTCCACATAGTATACTCTTTTACATTGTAACTTGGTGATATATGTGATGAAAAGAAACTTCAATATTGGCTTTGTTATCATTATTCTCTCCTCACCTCTTTTATGATTTCCTCTTTTATGATTTGTTGTTTTAAAGCTTAACTAGAAGTTGTTAGAAGTTGTTTGATGGGATGATTAAGACATATTCTTGATCAAGAGATTAGAGTTTTGAATTGTGAGATCCCACCTCGGTTGGGAAGAAGAACAAAGCATTCTTTATAAGGGTGTAAAAATCTCTTCTTAGTACACGTTTTAAAAACCTTGGGAGAAACATTCTTTATAAGGTTGGAAATCTCTCCTTAGCATATGTGTTTTGAAGGAAAAATCTAGAGACAATATTTTCTAAAGGTGGGCTTGCAAATTTTTCCACCTCATATGATGAATTGAATGCAAATTTTTCCACCTCATATGATGAACTGAAAAAACGAAAACTTCTGGCTAGCGTTCAAAGTTTTCCACCTCATACGATGAACTGAAAAAACGAAACATTTTTTATAAGGGTGTGGAAACTTCTCCCATGAAAACTTCTGCCTAGCGTTCAAATTTTTCCACCTCATACGATGAACTGAAAAAACGAAACATTTTTTATAAGGATGTAGAAACTCTCCCTAGCATACGTAAGAAAGTTTTGTAGGAAAAGTCTAAAGAGGACAATATTTCTTAAAGGTGTGTAAATCTTTCCTACGATGAACTGAAAAAAAGACTTAGTGGCTCCCTTCTCCAAAGTAAAAAACTTTGATGCACCCAAAAGGAAGGAAGGCTAGGAAAAAAATGGTGGTCTAGGACTCGAGTTCAAACACAAACCCATTGTCTTTATTTCTTGCCTGATAGGTTTGTTTTGAGGTTTGAAGCAATTGGCAGTAATGTGCACTGAAAATTATTGAGGATAAAAGCTATGAAACCCTTGAAAACTGTTTCAACCGCCACTGGATTTCATTCCCAACTTCCAAAACGAACGAAACGAAACTGATTTCCCTTTCCAGCATAGCCCTACGTATCCATCATTCTCTTCCACTCTTATCTCCTGGCTGTTATCATATCTTCTCAATGAAGCTCGAGCCATATCAATGGTGAAATTCCACCTCAAAGTGCAAAGCCTGATTTCTTTGGATAATAAGATCTAAAAGATTTCTCGATCCTAGGGAGTGGAGATCCATAATAGACATGTCTACATTCTTATGCGTCAACTAATATCAAAAGTATTGGTCTCATCATATAGAATGTTTAATATTTTTTCACCGGGAGAACTAATTGGAATGTTGCGAGCATAACGAACAAGGTGCTTTAGAAGAAGTGATCTGTTACCGAGCCATATTATTGAGAATAACGAAAGCATCTCTAAATACTCATTTTTGCACATTCGAAGCAAGGTTGAAAGAAACTAGCTTCTTTCTACAATTCCCATTTCATTTCAAATGAAGAGTACAGCACCTAATAACTCAAGGATATGTGATAGAAGTGGAGTGAGCTGAATGCACATGGGAAGTGAAAAATCTGCAACTTTTAGAAGGCCAAGGACCAAGATGAAGAGGTTCCCACAAGGCTTTTTGTATCACAAGCGCACCATGAATGGCTTATGGCTTTGTGGCATAGAACAAATCCCTGCCATGAAGTTCAAGTCATCTTCATAATTCACCATTGAGGAAATTGTGTACCTTACAAGTTGGCCCTTTTCCTCATCTGGAAATTGAACTGTTAACATCTGTAATACTTGAAATCAAAACAGTTAAAAGGGAATCAAAACATTTGTAATCATATCTTCTATTCCATTTGTGATAGTTTTGCTATGATCCCCAACAAACTTCAGACGGTTTGAAATTGTGAAGAGAATCAATATAAATTAAAGATGTCCTCCATGGCAAGACACAACAATAACTTGAGGCCTATACTAATATGACTGCCAAATATTTTGTACAGTTAACATTACGCCCGTGTTCCAGATTATGCATCTTCATATTATACAGCCTAAAAAAATTGATTTCATAAGTTGTATCACTAAGAACCATCACACACTACTCCACTCCACACAGAAGTCCAGTTCAGGCCCCTCTTAAATGGCATTCTCTAAATCTCTTTTTATTTTTGTATCCCTGAACTGGTACCAGGGTTGTTCACCAAGTAGTCGAGATTTACAAGCATTAGTTTTTCAAACATAGTTGAGACATTAAAACCTCGTCATTTGCTGCAGCAGCTGTGAACCGGCTGTCTGTGACAATAGTTGTTCTGAACTTGGTGAAGGCCTTGTTAGAGTGTTGGTACCGATGGACATTCCAACCCCTTGTCGGACCATCTCTTTAGGGGTGTTTATGTTTGTTTCGACACAGGAAGCTTCCTTCAATATGCGTATCTGATGAAATCCCCAGAAGAGAACGTTTGAGACAAATGATAAAAGAAGGAATGGATCAAACGCTTGAACAGATGAGTCCAACTTACCATGTCCAGACGTTTCTTGTGGACGTCACTTGATGATAACTACAATATTAAAACTCAATAGGGTTAAACAAAAACGAATTTTTAGAAAGTTAAAGGCCTCGTTTGATAATGATTTCATTTTTAATTCTGTTTTTGAAATTTATGCTCGTTTCCTCCAAAATTCTCTGTTGTGGTTTTCACATTTCTTAAACAAACATTTAAGTTTTTAGTTAAATTCCAAAAACAAAAATAAGTTTTTAAAAAGTACTTTTTTATGTTTTCACAATTTTACTGTTTTTGAAAATATCGGTAGAGAGCAGATAACAAACAAAAGAAATTTATAAGTGAAAGTAGTAATTATAAGCTTATTTTTCAAAAATCAAACGAGGCCTAAATTTAATCAAATGCTTGTTTTGAGAGATATGATAATTTTCTTACACTTTTATTCTGGTTCTTCCGCTCGTCACTTGAATATCCAGGAATGTTTAACTGCCAATTCTTCTCTGCACATCATCCAGAATATATGGTTAGTATAGATTTGTCTAATATAAGATCAATACCATTACTACCAAACATGATGAATCAAGAAACTTGTAACCTAGTGCCCTTTAGGTTGAATTATCGCAAATGATGAAAACTTGAACTCTTCATAACAATTAAATTAACGGAGCCTCACCATATCCCTCCCCCCCACTCTCTTTAGGGATGCATATGCTGCTGATGCATGCCCGTTAATAAATCAAGTAGAGAAAAGACAAGGTAGTACACACCTAAGTGTAGCAAGAGATCTTTGGATTCTAAAGTTGAGGACTTCCGGTGTTTAGCCAAATTGCATGAAAAGGTAGTAACCTGTATAGCAACAAAAAAAAAAAAAAAAAAAAAGGGAAAAAAACTTAGTTTTCACATAATAGACCATCGAATAATACTGAAATGATCATAGCTGATGAACGAGCCATGAAATTAACATGAATTATTAGGTACTGCAATAATATTGCAATAGAAGAAACATAATAATTAATCCACACTACTCCAAAAATCGTCCCCACCAAAAGGACCCTGACGCCAGTTAACTTGATTTGTTTGTAACATGAACATGTTATGGTATGGGGCAATGAGAAAATAGCTTTCAATAAGAACATGTAGATTTTAAAAGGACCTAAACGTGTCCACATCAGTGTCTTAGTAGCAAAGTATTTAGTTTTCTAATGTTCTTGTGAGAGCTGGTTCACAGGTTTTGGTTGGCGAGAAAGAAGGGAGAATAATAAGAACAGGGGAGTGTAGTAGTATACTTCTACTAAATTGATAAATGACAGAGGAACAGACCGATCAGTCCAAAGAAGGTATACACCACTCTATGCACCCATGGCCAATCACACTATTGAAAAGAAAAAATCCCTGAAATAGGGCCCTAAAAAGTTAATCAGGAGAAGAGGCATAGCAATTTATCATCATTACAAAACATAACAAGCCACGGCTTATAAAAATATAATCACCATGATTGAGGAGCTCCTGTTCTTGAATTTTGGGGCTGTTATGGGTCGTAACAGAGGGTTTTGTTCTATGATTGAAGAGGTGTTCTTGAACCCTCCTTTTGGGACAAAGGAAGAGTTATGTAGCAGTCTTTTTTTTTTTTTGCCTTATTATGGAGCATTTGGCTTGAGAGGAACTTTAGAGGGTTTGAGACATCTGATGAGGAACTTTGGGGGTCGATTTTAGGTTTAACTTGTGGCCATCTGTTTATAAGACCTTTTGTATTGTGTCATAAAAAAAAATTTGCTGCATAATGTCATAGAGTCTTCTGGTGATTTATTATATGTCATAGAATAGCATACTATTTTACGAAAATCGACTGTATGCAGTAATTTTTTTTTCCTTTCAAATGACTTCCTATTGTAAATGTTTTGATATAATCGAACATAGTGCTTCAATAGTGAATGACTAACTTTCGATGTGTATTGATATTGACTGCAGCTAATGGCACATACGCACTTATTATAGTAAGTGTAAGAAATTGGGTGGAAAGGTACAAAGAAGTATAGGGAAATGGTAACAGTACTAGGAGGTCTCACCGAGTCAATAAAATCATCGGCAATCTCCAAGAGAAGATCTTCAACTTCAGGTTCCAGCTTTCCATGTGGATCTACCTGCAGACATTCAAATTTCAACTAAAGCGAGAACAAAATAAGAAACACAGAAGTGCGTTACAAAGGTAGAGTAGATAAGATATGTGGGAAGTTAAGGCAGAACCTGTGAAACCAGATCTTGTATCTTTCTCTTCCCAAGGACTTGAGTGGCAGCTTCTGTCCCTTGGCTTGAACTTCCCCCAGGTGTACTAGTGCCAGACGCTGTAGCATCTGGATGTGATCCAGTCAAACTGAGAGATTTCTGGCCCACAAGTCCAGCTATCCTAGGAGAATGCTGCTGATGTTGATGCTGATGCAATACTGGTTGCAGAGAATTCTGTGGTGATGGTTGTTGAAGTAGCTGCTGTTGTTGATGAAGGGTCTGCTGTTGTAGCTGCTGTTGTTGTGGTTGCTGTTGTTGTGCCTGTGGTTGCTGCTGTTGATGTCCTATGGACGGCTGTTGCTGTACAAGCTGAGGAAATTGATGAGAGTTCAAGGACATGGGGTTTTGATGCAATTGACTAGATGAAGCCAATTGCTGCTGTAGCAGGACTTGTTGCCTCTGTTGAAGACGATATGAGGGTGAGCCAGGGGTAGACATTGTTGGAATTTGCTTTAACCACTGTTGCTGTTGCAAAGAGTTCTGGATCATGTTTGACTGCCCATTCTGAGCCAAATTAGTCAATTGTTGATTCATAAATGCTAGATTTGACATTCTCGGTAAGTTCTGAACCTGCAGTTTATAAAAATTGTCTTGGTGTCACAATCATGCACGCAATTTTACAGTTACAGGTTTCTACACACAAAACAAAATATCAAGATTGTATAGTAAGATCAGCAAAACAAATTACCATAAAACTATCCATTAAAGTAATAAGGTGATACTGCAGTTGCTGATATACAGATTAAGTTAGAGAATATGACGGACAAATCAGTAATGATGAAGATAATAAGAGTTATACCATCTACCAAAATGAAAAAAGAGTGTTAATGGGCACCAATTGAAATTAGAGACGTGTACTAATAAACATATTAGTATGCCCTATGGCAATTTTTTGTAGTGCAATGAATGTCTAGCTTGTAATGAATGAATGTTTAGCATACAAAATAAGTTGTGTCAGATAAAAGCCGGAGTACTACACTTCTATTATAGCCAATAAACTAACATCCTTGATTAATTGCATAAATAATACCCAAGCAATCACCAAAGTAACCAAACAAAGCATTAATCTGCCACGGTTCGAATTTGGCCTATCAGCCCATATAGAATCCAACAATACGTATATAGAATTAAAAGCGCAAACCCATTAATGTAATAAAGAACATGGGCACGGGAGCAAAGATGTGCTGTCATGAAACCTGTGGAGACGTGAGTGAGCTTTGTTGTGATAATTGCTGCCTTATTTGGCCTTGGTTTATTCTCTGTTGGGCATATGACGACGCAAGGCCATTGGCTCTTAACTGCGAGGTCAAATTCATTGAACCCATCATCCCCATTGCTTGGATTCCTTGTAAAGCTTGCCCGTGAGAGTTACCCGACTGAAATTGCGCCCCCTGGACTAAACCAGCTTTCTGCTTCGACTATACAAAATGTTCGGTTTCAGTGAAAATCAGAAGCAAAATATATTTAACTTGATTTCTAACGTCAATAAAGTAAGAATTTAGAATTGTAATTGAACAATAAAAGGCAACTACAGACGCATGACCCATCACCAAAATGCCAACGCCATGCCTAGAAAGATCTTCAAATAACAATGTCAAAGTAGCATCAATACCAATTTAAGACCAACGAGTACCAAGAATTCAGTGCATACCGAAGCAAGTAATTGTGACTGCAAGTTATACTGAGCAGCAGCAGCCGCCCCAGACAACATGGGCAAATGGCTACCCTGACCAATTAATGCAGACCGCGACAGACTCCCAGTTCCTATTTGCTGTTGTTGGTTAGGCTGTTGCTGCTGCTGGTTTGTAGAAGACGCACCAAAATTCATCTGACTGTAAAGCGCCGATTGCTGTCTCATCATCCCAAACTGCTGCTGTTGCTGCTGCTGCGGTTGCATTTGGTTCAACCGAGACATTGAAGGTGACCGCTGTAAAGCTTGCTGGATTTGGAAATTCGTCATCGCACTCGCATTCTGAGGTTGTTGCACCAATTGCTGCGAATGTTGCTGTTGTTGTTGCTGCTGCTGTTGTTGCTGCTGCTGCTGCTGCTGCTGCTGCTGCGCCTGTAGAGGCTTCTGCTGGTAGTCCAATCCAACCGCAGGGCTAAGCTGTTGCTGTTGCTGTTGATTTTGCGGGAGAGAGATGTGCGAAAGAGGAGGAGAAGAGATTTGAGATAGCGGATGTAAGTGGTCAATCGAAGGTGATTGAACAAGCGCAGAAGGCGATGGAATGGGAGGATTTACAGAGGAATTTGACGGATTCGATGAATTTTGTGGAACAGCGGTGGTTGAAGGTTGAACTTGCGGTTGATGCTGCGGCGGCGGTGGCGAAGGGTCCATCGGGTTCGTTTGGACTGGTCTAGGAGACGAAGTACTATCCGCCATTGAAATTCAAAGATAAGCAAAGATCAAGAAACTAAATCATGACAGAAATTGCATCAAAATTTGCAGAGAAAGAAGTGAATGCGAAGGGGAGAAGAAAAGAGGAAGGGGGAAGAGAGAGCGGAGGAAGAACGATCAGTAGGATTTGTACACGTCATCTGATGGACCGCTTTACGGTGGGTCATATATAATTTTTTGTGCAAATGGGTTCAGTATACACACGTGGCTTTCTCCTGTACGTTCGATCGGAGCGTACGATTGATTCCTGTGAGTACTCCCGTATCTGATCATTGAATTAAATAGTTTTCTAATTAACCTCGGATTCGAGTTTTTTCTTTCGCCATAACTTCTAAATAATTATGATAATGATAGTTTTTTTAGGGAGATGATTAATTTATCGTTAATTATCACTTTTAATCTTTATTAAGTTATTTAATTCAACTGTATTACGAGGCACAAACATCTTTCTTCTTTGAGCATCGGGTCACATATCCTTCTCTCCTTTTATTTTTCTTCTCGAGCACATGACAATTACTCAGCTACAACGTGTCACGTTGGATGACGTGCGATTGTCAAAACGACACAAAATAGGTTTACAAACACAATTGTGATGTGAGTTTTCTTTGTTGAAGATCTATAGTTTTACGATGATAAGACTTGCAAAAAGAGTCCTACAACGATTCTAACGTTTTCTCCAATCACCTCGTGCTTGTGTCTCCAATAAGTATGCGACAATACTAATGGACGATTAATAACGGTTTTATTCTCAAATTACGATGAAATCTCATATATTATATGAGATGGATTTAACAAGCAACTTTGCCCCGACCCATACCTATAAAATTCGAATCTCCATCATCGACATGTTTAAACAACCACCAACGATTTTTTTTCCTCCCTTTAGCTCGTCAGTTACATATTGACGTGTTTTAAATGTCTTTCTACTCATATGACTCTAGATCATGTTACCCATAGCTTGTAAAGTTACGATCAAGTTTGAACCTATTCAAGAACAAACTAACAAGTAATTATTTTTTTTTTTTTATTATGAATTAGTAGGTAATGATTCATTTAATTTTTTTTTAATTTAATTTATGTGTTTTAGAGTAAGTTTAAGATCGAACCAGTTAAAAACGATATTTGAATAAATATTAGTGGGTAACCTCGTAGATATATTTTGAATTCATTAACAACATTTAAAATGAGGTTTGGATTAGTTCGGTTAAAGTATTTAATTTTGAAATTTTATTTGGCTCAACGAACAACTTATCTTATCCCAAATTGTTTAATGTCTAGCGTGGTCAATGTCAATTTCAACATAAACACCTAAAATACTAGGAGATGGATTCAATTAATATATTTTATTTCATTTTATATACATATATTTTTAATTGGGATCTAAAAAAATTTAATTTTTTTTAGATAAAAAAAAATATATCCATATGTTTTTTTCATAGATTTGCAAATATCTCGAGAACATGCATGCAGTAACAACTACAACCAGTTTAGGTAAAAAAGACCTGATACTTACACAAACACAACATGGTAGATTACAACGGTGACAAAATCATAAAATTACACGGTAATCAATGACATTCGCTTGTCGAGCACTACCATAATGAAATTATTTAGAAATCGAAGATAAAAAATGATTCACTTTAATTTCACGAGAAATTTTATTTTTTAATTTAAGAGATTCTAAGAAAAAGAAATATTATAGCCACCCTTAGATGAGAACAACAAACACCCATATATGGGAAAATAAATATAATAATATTTTCATTAAAATTAATATTTTTAGAATTTATATATTTGGATCAAAATTACGTTTAGAAATGTTTTTATGTTCCACATGTAATTATACAATTTACACAACATAAAAATAAGGGAAAATAAGGAGAGTCTTATATGTTAAATAATTATAAATATTGAATATTTATTTTATTTCCATGAAATTATTCATGAAAATTTTAATTGGATTCTCTTTCATACAGCCCATTAACTATTGTTGGGCCTATAAGGAAACTGGAGGCCCAATCTTTAGATGTTAAAGCCTTTAATTTGAGGATATTTTCCTCTCTCAGGGTCTCAGTGTTTCCTAGGGTTTTATTCATCTTCAACCTAGAAGTACACGCAGAGAAGCGGTGAACGGCGACATCACCAGCAACCCAACATGGCTACTCAGATGAGCAAAAAGCGAAAGGTAGGTATAGAATTCGTTTCTTGATTCTATATTTTCCATGAGACTAATTATTCTGCACATTTTGGTTTGGTTAAGACTTGCTTTATTCAATTTTGTACAGTTTGTGGCTGATGGAGTGTTCTTCGCGGAGCTAAATGAAGTTCTTACCAGAGAGCTTGCAGAGGATGGATACTCCGGAGTGGAGGTTAGGGTTACGCCAATGCGGACTGAGATTATCATTAGGGCTACTCGTACACAGAATGTTCTTGGTAAGAAATTTTCTCCTCTAATATTGATATTTTTGTCATTCGAATCATTGGAATAGGTTTGGGAAGATTGGAATCTGTTTTTGTTTCAGATCAAGCTACCGCTACGAGTGTCTTTTCATTTTCTCTTTTAGTATTGATATTTTTGACCTGCGGATCATCGGCATAGGTTTGGGAGTTTGGAATCTGTTTTTGTTTCATACCAAGCTACTGCTACGAGTGTTTTTTTTCTTTAACCATTATTGGTTGTGCTTCCGTCTATAACTTCCAATTTTGCTTCAAAATTATGAACTGTGTTCTCAAAATTGGAATCTCATGTAATTCTTACGAAGTTCAATTTAGAATTTTAGGCAGGTGTAAGGAGTTGTGTAGAAGTGTTTCCGCTTTGTAATTGGTTACGGCCTTGAAAACTGGGTTGGATGGCTCTCTACGTTTTAGTACAATGTTCAGATATGTTCTGTTGTTGGTGCTGGATAGTCGACAGTTGAATTTTTCTTCTGTAGAGGTTATTGGCGCTGTATGCCTGACTCGAGTTTTGATGTTTAATGTCATTGGAGGATATGGATACATTGAAGTGGATTTAAGTTCTTAGGTCAATAGCTGTTTCATTTTCCTTTCACAGGAGTCCGGTGTTTAGATATATCAAACATGTTAGAGTAGTTTAATTTTGGTGTTTTCAGTCGTTGCTTTTGGATCTGGTGTCTGACCATGTATTCAATTGTGGCTATAGGTGAGAAAGGTAGGAGAATCAGAGAATTGACATCTGTTGTTCAGAAGCGTTTCAAGTTTCCCGTAAACAGTGTTGAGCTATATGCCGAGAAGGTCAACAACAGAGGACTCTGTGCCATTGCTCAAGCTGAGTCTCTCCGCTACAAGCTTCTCGGAGGCCTTGCTGTAAGAAGGTATAATAGAAATTATGGATGTTTTTGGAAACTTTTAGTTCTAGGTGCGTGCGATATCCTAATGATGAAAATTTTCTTCCTGGATACTGATTGTTTGGTTTGGAACTATGTCGTCTTTACATGTTAAACTCCTTATTTTGGCGATCACACTCCTATTCAGCATTACTTTTTCATTTTTCCAGGGCTTGCTATGGTGTCCTTAGATTTGTCATGGAGAGTGGAGCTAAAGGATGTGAGGTCAGTCCTAACTTCCATCTTTATGGAATTTGTTCTTGATGATTTGGTGGGTTTGTATTACACATCTTTATTAATTAGTAATCTGAATCATGCAGGTTATTGTTAGTGGTAAGCTGAGGGCCCAGCGTGCAAAATCCATGAAATTCAAGGATGGATACATGATTTCGTCTGGACAGCCAGTGAAAGAGTACATAGACTCTGCCGTGAGACACGTTCTCCTTAGACAGGTCAGTTCAGTATCATCTCAAGAGGGCATTCATTATCTTTTCTTGAATCATATATGTGGGTTGATTTGTTCTTTAATTGATGTCTCTGTTTCTTTAATTTACAGGGTGTTCTGGGTATCAAGGTCAAGATCATGCTTGATTGGGATCCAAAGGGCAAGCAAGGTCCACCGACACCGCTTCCCGATTTGGTTACCATCCATACTCCCAAGGAGGAAGAGGATTTCATTAGGCCTGTGGCTGTGATTCCAACGGCTGAGATTGAAGTTGAAGCAGCAGCTTAAGAGGCCAGCACACATGAGGGGAGAAAGTTGTCTAGTGTTGCTATCATAATATCATTTCTTTCAGAATATGGAATTCTAAGTTTTGATGTCATTTTTCTTCTGTTTTGAGTTTCGATTTTGGGATATTTCTGTTACAAAATATTCACAGAAGCCGTGGTACTTAACTTTATGTCGGAGCCCATAGTGTTCTAATGGTAATCTTAATGATGATGTCATTTTAGTTGTATAATTTTGGCCCGTACGGGTATACTTTTGGGCTTCTCACGCATTGGGCCTTAGACCATAATGACGGGCCCAAAACTGACACTCACAGTAAGGAACACTAAAAGCCTGCGAAGAATGACAAAAACCATCCTTAGTGAATGGAGACTGGAAAGGTTCTGATGAGCATGGTAAATTGCCTGCTATTGAGAAGCAGGAAACTGCTCACTCAATTTCTCCAGTCTAAATGAGAATCATGGGAATGAACATAGGAGTTTGGGGGATTGTTTAGAGCATCCAGATAACCTTTATTGATTGGGGACATATGCCTGGATAGTCTGTCAATTAGAGAACGTAAATGTTTGGGAGAAATACTACTGTTGAAGACAAAATTTGGCATTGACCTGTACATGGTACATTCCAGCTACATCTAAGGGAAGGAATCAACCTAGAGGGCTCGTTGATAATGGCAACTTTAATCCTCAACTCCACGATCTAAGCTTTTGTTGAAACGAATCCTAAAATTAAAGAAATTAACACTTCCTTGTCGGATCAACTAAGATCAAGTTTTGTTGAAGCAAGAATCCAAGAATTAAAGAAATTAACACCTCCTTAAAGGATCAACCAAGAGATTTAGAACCTTTTAAGATCAAAGATTCTCCTTAAATGATCAACGAAGAGATTTAGAACCTTTTAAAATAAAAAATTCAGAACTAAGATTATGGAACTTTGTTCTAAATTGAGTGACTCTACAATCGAACTTGATCAAAACTTGATTAAATGACTCGGATACAATTTACCACAAGAATTGTTAAGAATTGCTTGGAACTTAGTCTTTTAACCTTACAAATTTGAGCATTATCTTTATCATTTCTAAGTTCCAAGCAATTCTTAGCAATTCTTGTGGTAAATTGTATCCGAGCCATTCAACTCTTTGAAATCTCAATTTCATTTATCCAAAATCAGCCTTTTACATACTAATTTGTGGGTATTTAGTCTCTCCACAAGAAACTTTCAATTCTTTGAATGCCTACGAAATCTCAAATTTCTATTTTTCTTCTTACTCTACCCTTCCGAACAAAAGTCAAAATCCTTCGATTATGGATGCATATAAGGCGGAGAAGACTTTGGAGATGAAGCAAACAACTTTTGGGTGTGCGTCCGATGATAACATGGTGGCTTAGACATCAAAAGGAGGGATGAGGAGGAAGCATCATCGTGCTTGGACTCTAGTTGAAGTCATCAAAGAACATATCTGATAAGAATCACGGTGTTCCAAATGTTCCAAGACATCAAAGGACATGTTTTACTTTCATGTGTTACAAGCTGATTCGATTGAGGAAGGACTATTTGGAGCTTCAGGAGTGAGTATTTGCACGGTTAAAGTAGTGGATGAAGTTGCAAGAATCATTTCATGAGTTATAAAATTTTATTTATTGTTTTTAATTTCATAATTCTTGTAATGGGTCAAAAGGTGGAAATTAATTGTCAAATCAACTACGTTTTTCGTGGAGATGAAATCAGAATTAAATCCACTAACTTCTTTAGTGGGCATTTGAAGATTTGAAAGTTTCTTTTGTGGGAAGACTATACATACCCACAAATTAAGGGGAGGCATACTTTGTTCGAAGGGAGGTGTTGGATGAAAGTCTCACATCAGCTAATTTAAGGAATGATCATGGTTTATAATCAAGGAATACTCTCTTCATTGGTTTGAGGCCTATTGGGGAAGCCCAAAGCAAAGTCATGAGAACTTATGCTCAAAGTGGATAATATCATACTATTGTGGAGAGTCGTGTTCGTCTAACATATCATTGGTAGCAAATTATAGGAGTTTCACCAGCTTTCAATTTTTTTTTTTTTTTTTTTTTTTTTTTTTTTTTTTTTTTTTTTTTTTTTTTTTTTTTTTTTTTTTTTTTTTTTTTTTTTTTTT